TATGTTCTGGTTGGTAGTTTTATTGGGGTCATAATAACAGAGCAAAATAGTATCTCCTCTTTTTTGTTTTTTTCCCTCTGCCAAAGAAAAATAATTTTCTTAGCTCTCTCTTCAGTAGTTGGGTAGGAACACTGTTTGCTCCTTCCAGCCATGCTACCAGATCACCAGGATGAAGAACAAGAGAAAAGGAAGTTTTACAGCTCCATGGCTGCATTTTATTTTGTGCCTCGCAACCTATTGGCCATTGAAAAATCAACAACAAAATAATCCCCCTCAAAAACTGACTGTGAATTGAAAAAACTTGCATAATTTGGAAGTGGACTGAGAATTTTCATAACAGACCCTGGAAGAACAAGGCTTTTATTTAAACTGTCTCAGTTCTGCAGAATGGGATCCCTCAAACCAAGGGATGAAAGAATTTCCTGTAGATCTGCAAAATGGCCTTGCAGGAAAGAAAATGCTACTAAGTAAAAGAGAGAAATGTGAGTGACAAATTTGAGTTATTTGATGTATCTTAGAACTATTCTTCTGGAAGAAAATTAATGAAATTTACTTTTTCTATTTTAGAAGCCTTTCCAAGCTCTTACAAGAACCTGAGCACACCAAAATTATTCTGTCTCTTGCAGAATTAAGTACCTATGTTTGACAGTTACTGTGATTAAGATAGTTTGGAAAAGGCATGGCTTTTCAGTATTTTCTACTGTCATATCCTTTCTAGAAAGCGGACTTTGGTGAGGAAAGTAGTAGTTTATGCTACTACTCTAGTAGTATAGTGTTTTCATTAAGAATGTAAAAAAATGCATTAACTAGTGTTAATTTTACTTGTCTCTTCTTTCTTCCATGACAGAGAACTATTCATCATTATATGAATATATACAATGAATTAATTTTCATTTATGTTTCCCTCTGGGCTTTTCACCAAAAATTATACTGCTTATAGGAAACAATCAATAAAAAACCCACAAAAAATATTGAAAAAATCATTTTCAGTGGTAGAGATGGTAATTTTCAAAGACCATCTCACTGAAGGACTACTGCTTGCTTATGCAGAAATAAGCCCATTCTCTGCAGCTGGCAGTAAATGAATCTGTTTTCAGGAGGCTGAGAAAAAAAATCAGTTGTTTCTCTCTCTCTCTCTCTCTCCCTGCCTCTTCTGAATTCAGCAATATGGGACATATTAGTAAATGATATCTGTCAGAGAAGAGAAATATTTTTACATGTTTTTCAAAATTATTAGTTGCTATGATGGAATTTTCTGCCTCTGCATGTGTTGAAGTTATATTGACTGCATGTTATTATGGAAGTAACATACAATTATAGTTAGAAACCAAAAATAATTAATTCAAAGAATTTACTGTGCAACACACAAAATAATTATGGCCTCTATTCGCCATATAATACTCTTACAAGCCTTAAAAGATGCTACATTGGCTGTGTCTTACAAAAAGAGATTTTAATTTTAAGGCTCATACCAATGACCAGTTACAAATTAGGTGAAATTTATCAGGTACTAAACTCTTAAATGCAGATATCTATTATAAATCAGCTGCCAATAAATAGTTGGTGCTTAATAAATGGATAACCAGTCGAATTGTCTAGAGAGAATGATAACTGTTTTGTTGAGGTGATAATTATGCATCTTTACTGTTAGAAAATTTCCAGCTATGGAGAGATGATATGGATAATTAAAAGATGTCGGTATTTTAAATATATATTGCTTTTAAAATATAGTACATCCTTTGCACAAAGCAGGATGAACTTAATATGAGATGGCACTCAGCTGTTCTTTTTGCAGTGTCCATTTTGTAGTATCCATATCTTTTTTATTAAGACTCTTGCCTTGTCTTTTTAAGTCTAAACCTTTCAAACTTTTCTGCATTAAGCTAATTTGATGCATTTTCTGTTGTTATTTACCAAAACTCCTGCCTCTGATATTAATGTCTTCCAGGCACTCTGAGCATTTGCATGACTTCTTTTTTATACTAAACCTACATGAACATGAATGCTATATAACATGAAAAGGAAAGAAAGTTCAGACACCTCTCAGTTTGCTTATGTTGAATATGAACACAAACCCCAAAAAGTGTGGAAATAACATTTTTGGAAAGGATTATCCTGTGCCCTTACAGGCTGTCACTCAGCATTCTGCACTAACAAATATTTCAGCCTTCCCTAAGGATTTTATCTTCATTGCTAAGGGGCAAAGGAAGACAACACAAATATCAAATTCAATTTTGTATTTTAGCCCAAAATCACAATATTGCATTCAGTCACTTTTATCTGAAATAGACTGTATCCTTGACAAATTTTTGCTCCTGAATGTTACCATTAGAGACTTTCATTAAAGATGTTACTATGGCTTCAGTGCCAGATTACGCCCCTGCCTTGCACATGGAGTAAAGGAGAGTGGCTTTTTCTTCTTTGCTATGCATTTTGCATAGAAAGAATGATAAATGGAATTGTCTTTACCAAGGGAGTACAGGAGGTGTTCTCTCCCTGCATTTGAGACACGAAGGACAACAGCAAGAGCTGGGGTCTGCTTCTCTCTGGCTGCTTTCTGAGGGTGGGGAAAAATGCAACATTTTATCAACCAATTTTCCGTTGCAGGATCTCATGGGATGATTGCAGCCCTGCACATACACACAGAGCTCAAAAACCTGTGGCAGACTTGAGGTCTTAGGTTGCCACACTTCATGTTCCCTTCCCCTGCCAAAATTAGCAATGGAAAAGCACCAAGAAGTAATATGCTTAGGCACAGCAAAATCAAAAAGCTTAATTAGGTCCTGCAAGCAGCATAATGAGAATGTGGAAACAAATCTCTGTTACAGAAGATAGATGAATGGGAGGCTGGTGTGCAGGATCAAGCCATCTGGAGGCAGCCAGAAGTAATTTAGATTGGTGTTTTGACAAACTCGGGCAGCAAGATCTATTAAGGGCACCCATGTGTTTGTTTAATAGTGGTTAAGTCAGCATTTCTTCTGCAAACATTACTGTATTTTAAAAGCCTGGTGGTTGCAGCTGTCTGGGCTAAAACTTCAGATACAGATCCTGTCACAAGAGCTCATTTTCTGTAAAAAAGAATTCTCTGGTTTTTGTGGGACTAGGAGGAGGGCTCTTTTATGTGGTACCAACGAGGTGGATGTTGGTTTGGGCCCCTCCTTATAACATGGTGGTCTAACCCTCTGATGCCCTCCTTGGGGGTGGAGGAAATACAGAAGTAAAAGGCAAAAGTAGCACACAGGGAATAATTTTGAGAGATTTTATCTATCTTCATTATTACGAACCTGCATAAAAGAATTCGAATACATTACAGGCAAACTTCTGAAATGTTCTGGAGAAAAGCTGAGTCTATTTGTGCAGATTAGAATTCCCAAGAGGAATCAGTTTTAGAGACAAAGTCATATACAATAAATATGTGGACACAATGTGCGTTCACATAGCGGCCAACAATCTACTCATATGGAAACAAACCCAAAGCCAAAACACAATGCTTCCTCCTAGGCAAATTAGCTAAAATTGCCAGCATGGTTATTAAAATCATGATAAGAAATAGGAATTACTATTTTGTGGCAAATAATGTAAGCACTAACATTGTATTTTTTTTTTTTTTCCTGGATTGTTGTACTTAGAACTTTGCTTCTCAATGAAAACGGCATGAAACTTCTTTTTTTTTAATCTTAAAGTTGGCATTTTCGAATAATCACTTCATCATGAGAGTGGAGGCCCCAAAAAGCCAACTTAATAGGATAAGTTACAATTTGGGCTAATGAGAGCTATTAACAGAAGTGACTGAATTTTATAGTAAATTTGAACATTTCAAAGCATTCAAAACAAGAGCAGTGTAACCTCCATACCCCCTCCAAATATTTTCCAATAAGTTTGAGTTGGTAAAAAGTAAAACCAGCAAGCAATTAATCCAAAATATACTCAAACAAACCAGTTACTCTATGCTACAGAAACAAAGGCATATCTCAGTCCTGTTTATGCTAATTTGTAGAGTTCTTTTGATCATAATTTACACACTTTCTTGCTTGTTAACTTTACTTCGCACTTCAGAATTTGAAGTTGACTTCCAGCTCTGCAATTAGTACAACAATTTGGAAGTTGCTGATAATTACATGGTAGAGCTAACCCTTAAACAGATATTTTGTGTGGGGTCTTTTGTCTGCAGTTCATATGCTCGATAGTACAAAGTGTGGTGTGAACAAAGGAAGATGAGAGTAAAGACATAAAAAACACACTTCTGAAGGAAAACAGGGAGGTAGAATGTTAGGATTATTTGGAAAGTTTTAAAGAAAGAAGCTGAAAGGAAAACTGCACATGGAAAGTGAAATTCAGACTCAGAAGTAAAATACAGATAATTACCACTAATACATATATTAATCTACATTTTATAGAAGAGTGATATGTTTTAAGAATATGACACATTTAAAAATAAATTTTTAAGTATGATGAGTTATCATTTTTATATAGACAACATATAACTGTTTAAGTGACTGTGACACTATGAAAGCTATGGCTGAAATATGAAAATCAGTACAGTGATTTATAATCCGGCTAAAACGTGGGGGGTTTTTTTTCTATTTCATGAATTTGATTTTATTTCTGTTATTGAAGTAGTACAATTTTTTAAAGGACATTATCAATTTTTCATGGTTTAGACAAGTGGTATAGATGATATTTAGAATGGTTTCTGAATAAAGTCAGTGAAAATAAATTAATAAACCAGCTACCTTTTAATGCAACATTTAACTCCTATATGTATTTTAGTGTAAGTTTTGTTTAGTCAATAAAAGCAAAACATACTTAGTTTCCTTTTGAGAAGGAAAATATCCATGGCTGCTGACTTTATTGAGTAAAAGCTGCATTTTATAAGCTTAAATATAGTAAATAACCATCATGTCGAAATAGGATGTTTATGCTCAACATAATCTCATAAATTGTATTGTATGGCTGTTAAACATATAAATATCCATGAAAATATACATATTCTTACTTACCCAACGGACAGAAAAGGCTCCTTTGATTCAAGTCTGTCAAGTAAATAAAAAAAAATTTAAATATAGGTATTTATTGTGTTTAAAAACAATTGTGCAATGAATTTAAAACAGCTGTTCTCGGTGTCAAGTTTATTTAATGACAAAATTTAGCACCAATAGAAGGGCCTGATGCATTTTAGTAGGTGCTTTTAGTATTCCGCTTTAGTTTCCGCTTAACTTGGAAAAAATCCCATTTATGCAATGGAACTTTAATCTAGAAATCAAATATTTACAAAGTAGCACATCTAGACCCTTTGAATGTCACAGATTCAGATGACTTGTGTAGATATTTTAATGGAATGTCTAGCATGAACAAGAAATACTTTGTTCTTTTTGTTGCCTTTTTAATTTTTTGGGGGGGGGTTGGTTTCCAGCATCCTATGCTTATATGACATGATCACTTCATCCTTATGATAGCTTCTGTCCCATTTGCCAGAATTGGCCTTGTGCTGGATCTGGGTGCCACTGTTTTGGTAGATCCAGAATCATGCTCAGTTCTAAACCCAGTGGTTCAAAGTGCTCTCCCCCTCCCTGCTGTGGCTGTGAGGAGATGCAGCACCTGCACATTGGCAGGAGCCTCTTCTGGGAGTTTCTGTCCAGCCAGGGCAGATACAAGACTCCTCAGCTGTTCTATCAGGCAGTGTTCCTGTTTTGGTATCTGCAACTGGCTGCACTTACTTTTTTTAGTGTGTTCTGGCTTTACTGAGTTTACTGATATCAGCTGCTTGATAAGACCATTAGTAAGTGATTTTAGGATGCTTTATAAACATGTTTAAAGCATATTTGCAGCTGAGTAATTTTGAGTGGTTACATGATGTGCAAAAATTTCTGTTGTGATGATTCCCACTGAGCAAACTGTGTTAGGAAGAGCAGAAAATAAATGCCCAGGTCATTAATATCTCTTTGTAGCCTTTAATAAAAGTGTTTCTAATGCAGCAAAGGGTATCATATGTGGAACTGAACATTTAAATTATAAATCTGAAAACAATTTAGTCCCAAAATAAAATATGTGTGATATAATTACTTTTAAACAATTACCATTAGTGTTAAACAAATAATAAATGTTTTAGGGAAAAAGTTTCATGAAAGATATCTTTGTAAAAAAACAGTACTGTTTCCATTGTTATTATTCAGCAAAGGTTTTGTGCAAAAACTCACAAACCAATAGACCAGTTTAATTATTACCATAATCTAAAATCCAAAACACTGTCCCTTTTCTGTTGTCCTAATGACTATAGCTCACTGTTCCATTGCTTTCTGGGGTTCAAATCCAAGTGGAACTAGAAGAACAGAAGAGGAAGCACTGATGGCTTTTCATATACCTGGAAGAACAGTAAAAGCTCAAAGCTGCATGTCCTTGTGGTTGGGGCAGTCCCAAGAAAATCTGAGCTTGGCATTCTCTGTGCTCAGGCAGTGCTGCCAGAGAGCAATGAAATGACAGGGTCCTTCATGAAGGGTTTCACCCCTCTCCTGCACATTCTGTGCACTAGTGTCACATTTCGGTTTCCTCTTCTTCTTCTTAACGAAATGAATCAGTCGGGGAAGCACTCAGTGTTTGGCAGGAGAGATTAACTATAAGCAAAATGACCAAAGAATGAAAGCCCTAGAACATACTTACATACTTCATAATACATAAATGTTGTAATCAAAATTACCCTGATGGAGGATATTCTGGTGGATTTTACTTGAAAACAAAGAGTGTGTGTGATAGAATGCCCTGTGGGCAAAATACTGCAATTAAAAATCTATTTGAAGTCCGTTCTCAAACTGGAATTTAATTTGATTTAAATAGTGCTGCCCCAGGTTTGACCTCTCTCTATATTTGACTAAATGGTTTCAGATGATTTGCTGAATTACTTTTAATTAGTCCAAGTGTTCCTCATAGTAAATGAACACAATTATCTGTTGGCCTTTTACTTGGTAATTCAGTATATGGAAAAATAATATAAAGGTTTAAAACTGCAACACAATATGAAATAACATCTTATATAATCTTTACTGGTGACATTTGTCAATAAAAAACACTTTTTACCTTTCTTTTCAACCTAATATACACTGACTTTTCCAGAGTTTTGAGGAATTATTGAAAAATTAAATATGATATTGCAAAAAGACTAATTCTGATAAGTTTAGAGAAGGGCTGTCATACACTTCCAGGAAAAATCTTAAAGCAGATGTCTTCTTTGCAAAAATATATTTTTGTGTCCAAGAAATACTAAGCTAGACAGTGAACAAAGGGAATCATGTATTAATTATGTAGGAGTGGTAGTGAAGCACGAGAGATTGAGATTCTTTCTTTCCTGAAATGGTTTTCCCATCAGAAAAGACCAGTTTGTCAATATGCCAAGGCAATATATCAGTTGGAATAGGAGGGAGGGAGGCTAATCTGTAGCATTACTGGGACAAGGCAGACTGAGGTGGTGTTTCACTTTGATTCTCAGCTAAGATTTTCTGAGCTAAGATTTTCCTTATCTACATATAATAGATAAGTTTTGCAGGAGAAAAAAGAATTTTTACACTATGCCAGTTGTTCAATTAAAACCAGTCACTGTAAACTGAACAGGCAGAGGAAATTAATTACTACCTATTGATATGTTACCATCCTGTCACACTGCATTTAAAATAAGGACCCTACAAATTTCCCATTTAGTGTTATTCCCCTTGCACCCTGTCTTGGAGAGATATTTTACAAGGTTTGATTAACCCAATTGTGCATTTTATGATTTTCTTTGCTGCTAAAGTTTCTTATATAAATGGCAATGATCTAAATTCCATCTTTGACACGGACTGAACATCCAGATGGACAAATTTTCAAGGTTTGCAGGCACACATACAGGAAAATGTGACTAGACTAAGGATATATGGATTCCTCTTTGACTTGTAAGCAAATCATGGAATGACAGCAAGATCCCAAAGTAAATTCTACTTTCTTGTACAATTGTCCTATTAAGATTACAGGCAAGAATTTTTCTGCATTTGAGGCCTGACCTGAGATACATAAATCTATATAATTACTTGTTAAAGAATCCTCTCCTCTCCTTCCCAAAACTGTGTACAGGACAAAGTGAATAACATTTCTAACAATATCAATGCAGTACACAAGCAAATGGATTTCAGCCAAGGATTCTCCAAGGTAATTAATTATGAATCAATATATTCTTCCTTGTGGAGATCATATAATTTCATCTTTAAGCACTTAGTAGGAAAAACGTGGAATTTAATGAATTTATTAGGATTCTTATTCTGACTTGTTGAAAAAACAAAACCATCTGCCCTGAATCAGATAAAGGGGTCAGGAACTAATATTTTTTCAGATGAGTCATCATCTTAGGTTACAACCTTCATATCAAAATTCCTGAGGCGGATTAGCTGACTGTGTAGCTGACATCACACATTTTCTGTTTGACTATAAAATGTATGAATAGTGACTGCAGATTTCAGGGGAGTTGGGAACATTTTTATTCAAAAATAGGAAAGTCAGGATAACTGTAAAGCATTTTGGACTTCAGTGTAGTGTTAATGTGTATTTAGACTGACTGATGTGGCTGACTTTTTCACTTCTCAAGTATGTCTTTTTTGCATCTTTAGGCACCAAAGAATTAGCAGGACCAAAGATTAAGCAGAAATATGTGTATTGAAAGAATATGGCTTACCTTGTTTATCAATGCATTAAATTTTAAAATGACAAGAACAAACCAAGGGACTTTTCAGAAGAAACTTATGTTTCCATTCACAGTGATCAAACATGGATACATTTTTCTCTGAATGTTGAGTTTGTGGTTTGAAGTGATCAAAAACCATCTTTCTTCAGAACTTTTAAAGCAGTGTTATATATTGTCATTTAATTTCTTTTTAAAGCATTTGCATTGTAAATTTTGCTACCTCCCAATATTTCTATTCAATGCAAGCAAGCCTAATACAAGCCCGTCTTAATTTACAGAAGAAATATACTTTCATATAACTTCTGCTATCTATTGAGTCTGAAAGAACAATTGCTGGTGTATACTAGCAATTTCTGGTTTCCGTGACTTAATTTCAATCCAAGATAATTTTCCTGGATATTGTCAGTAACCACTGTCAACTAGACTAGGATAAGAAGCTCATTTTGTCTTCTGAAGCTTCCGTAAATATCTTCATAAATGTTGACAGGCTCTATCAAGAAACTCTGTCATATTCTGGAACAAATAAATGGTAGAATGACTGTAAAGAAGATCTAATCTATCAGAAGTGTTTCAGAAGCAGAGAGAAAGGAGGAATAATTTACATGTTTATGTCAATTTTTACAATTGTCCCTAACAACTTTAATAAGTTCTGCTCCCATCTGGTGGTTGACATTCCAATTGATAATTCAGACTAGAAAAACAACAACCAACTGTTGTTTTCATGAACATTGCATAATGTCATATACTAATACATATACTATGTATTAGTTTTTGCAGTGCCTTGAGAACTTTTATTCGACAGACCTAAGTGCTTCTGTTATTTATTGAAATGTAAGGATTCTAGCACAAAATAAAGTACACCACTTAAGCCATGAATGGAAATTAACATACTGTGAGCTCAAATTGTCGTTTTTCAGAGCAAACATAGTCATTTGATGTGGTAACTGACTTGGTGGATAAATGATAAGACAGATGATAGCTAATACTTAGTATCATTTTTAAAGCTCTTGATATTGCCTGATATGAGAGTCTCATAATGAAGCTGACAAAATAAAATCTATCCCCAGCATGACCATGAACAAAGAATTATGCCAATGTGAAAGAGAGCCACATTAAATAATAGGAGCACTCAGTGTTATGATTCATTTAACATTGGTGTGCATAAAATATTTTAACAAAAAGGTTACTGCATGTAAAATAGGAACAAAAAGGCTGGTTTTTAATCATCCAGTGAAGAGACTTAAAATGTTTTTTTTTTTTAATAAATTGAAGAATTATTATGAATTCAGTGTGATAAAATTTAAAAAAGAAATGCAGAGTGAGAATTTGAGA